AAAAAAAAAAAAAAAAAAAAGAAAGAAATAAGAAAAGGTCAATTCCAATCTTAGTCATTTTATTTATTTAAAAAAATCTAAAAAATTTTTCTAATGGAGGTACTGGGGATTGGACCCAGGACCTCACACATGTTAATCACACGTTTTTACCACTGAGCTACATCCCCACCCCCAGGAAGTCACTTTCGAGGAGGGCTGGCCATTTGCCCTGCTTCTTGGGCAGGCACTCCTTATCAGACTTCCTGGAGCCATCCATTTGGGTCTGATTTCTTATTTACCCGATGGGAGAGCTGGATGCGAAGCACTGAGACTTACAGGGAAATCAAACCTCAGATGAGGCAAGGCTGGGAGGAATGGGTGATGGAGAATCATCCTCAGCTGGGTGGGTGCAGATGCGAACCTAGAAGTATCAAAAGTCAAGAGAGAGGAAGCTGCAAGATCTAGCTCTGAACCCTTTCTTCCCCTTCAGGACTCAGTGCTGCAAATGATACCAAAGACCTTGTGTGGAAGGAGGGATGTCTGTTGCCAAGAGTGGCCACCTGAAAATCAGCGGTCACACCCAGGACTCTCTATTTTGCTCATGTCAGTCGCTGCCACAGCTCCTCACACTCCCAGACTGTGCTTTCCCCCTTCTGCAAGCCCTACCTATTGCTCTGAGAAGAACATAGATGCATCCTCAAAGCCATTAAAGGTAATAAGACAGGAATTATCTAAGACCGACCAGCGAGAAAAGGGAAGTAGATAGTATCATGTCTGGCACACAGCGGGGGGGCATAACGTGTTTTTTCCCACTTTCCAAGATGGCCTGGATGTCACAGGCATCAGGAGAAAGCTGAGATTGTGTATTTTGAAGGGTCTGGTAGAGGAGGGGAAAGATCCTATTCATGAGAGAACCAGAGGAATGGCAGAGGGAATCTTGCCCTCTGAGGCTTCTCCCAGTTGTCTGAGAAATACTGAACTTCCACCTGGACCCACTTCCTGTGCTGTCTCCCTCAGGAGCCGCCCTGCAATTCTCAGGTCCCCCTCCTAGTGCTCAGGGTGCTGGCCTCCAACTGGTCTGGAGCCCACAGATCTGGGTCTCACTCCCTTTGAGGACCATGGGGGAGGGAGGCAGCCTGATACTGCTAACCTGCCTGCCTGAATGAGTGCAGGAGGCAAGCAGGTCTAAGACAGGGTGTAAGGGTAGCAGCTGTCTGAACGACAGAGGGACGAAGGGCCTCTTCCCAGATCTAGGCTTGCTGATTCCTGCGCGTTAGGGAGGCGGCGGGAGGGGATCCCTTAAACGCTGCGGAATCCAAGAACCCTCCAGATGAAGCGATACGGAAACGATGCAGGGAGTATCTCAAGAATGGGGTTATGGGGGCTTCTGCAACAGCCACTCCCTCGGAGTCTGGAGTGAGGGTTAGGCTCCATTTAGGTGCTTCGGAGCTCCAGAAGGAACTCCATCTGCTTCTAACAGGCCCCTTGCAAAAGGCTGTTCATACCCACTCTCCGTCAAAGGGGCCGAGAAACAGCCAGTCGGAGCAGGGCCATGGTGGATTCCATCCCATCAGTTCCAAGGGACGGCCGTTGAGGCGGGGCCGTGGGTGAAGCCGCCTGTGAGGAGAGGGCCCAGGCAGTGTGGGCAGGGCTTTCCGGTCGCGAGACGGTCCCGCCCCCGCCCCCGCCCGGATTGGCTGCTGCGATTCACCCGGGTGTCCGTCAAGCAGCCGCACTATTGCGCTGGCGCAGCGCTGCTGGGTCCTCAGCATCCTCCTGTAAGGCGCCGGCTCTGGTTAAGTGATTGCTGGATCCTTTGTGCCCCCCATTCATCCATTCATGCCGCCGCAGTGCCACAGTCTTCTGGAGGTCGTGGTCTTACAGGGAGCCTAGAGGCTGTGAGGGATAGCTGAGGTGAAAGGACAGCGCATCGGGTGAGCTCAGAGCAGGCCAGGGAGGGTGCGGGAGAGCCTAGGA